GGAGACATGACAGAAGCCTCCCACAAGGATGGCAAAACATCAAAACATCTGGGCAACATCCTTACAGATGGCAAATTCTCTCACACCAGAAGTGACTTGCAGTTTCACAAGCCGCTCCTGACACAAAAAAAATGAAACCAAGTTGGTTTCAGTTTATGGCAATCCTATAAAGGACGAGAGACATTCAAGGGCTCATTGGTCATCAAACTGCTTGTTCCAATCTTGCAAAGGGTCTGTAGCTTCCTTGATTGAGTCTATCCCTCTAAGGCAGTGGTTCTAGAAACAGTGTGCAAGAAACAGGTTTGATATGCTTACTACTCTTATGCGAAATTGTACTTGTGTATTAAGTATATGTGACTGTACTACCAAGTCTAGTTGTCTAAAGGATGCATTGGTATGTGAGTAGGAGTGTTACAGAGTTCTAGCACTGTCGTACAACTTGAAGGAGCCGCCAGTGGCACAGTGGGTTAAAGCACTGAGCTGCTGAACTTGCTGATCGAAAGGTCACAGATTCAAATCGGGGGAGCAGCATGAGCTCCCGCTGTTAGCCCCAGCTTCTGCCAACCTAGCAGTTCGAAAACATGAAAATGTGAGTAGATCAATAGGTACCGCTCCGGCGGGAAGGTAACTTTTCTCCATGCAGTCATGCCAGCCACATGATCTTGGAGGTGTCTACGGACAATGCTGGCTCTTCAGCTTAGAAATGGAGATGAGCACCAACCCCCCAGAGTCGGACACGACTGGACTTAATGTCAGGGGAAAACCTTTACCTTTACCATTACATACAACTTGAAATGTCATGGCTCCATTCTTTCCAATAACTTGCTTAGTGCATGAAACCAGGCTTGGAAAGCAAGTAGAAAAGTAGTTGTGCGAGCTATTAAAACAGGCCTATTTATTGGGATTTGAATGCCATCAAGGTCCAGTGTCATAGGTAAAGGTAAAGGTTTTCCCCTGACATTAAGTCCAGTCATGTCCGACTCTGGGGGTTGGTGCCCATCTCCATTTCTAAGCTGAAGAGCCGGCGTTGTCCATAGACACCTCCAAGGACATGTGGCCAGCATGACTGCATGGAGCGTCGTTACCTTCCTGCCAGAGCGGTACATATTGATGTACTCATATTTGCATGTTTTCAAGTTGATAGGTTGGCGGAAGCTGGGGCTAACAGCAGGAGCTCATCCCGCTCCCTGGATTTGAACCGGTGTCCTTTTGGTCAGCAAGTTCAGCAGCTTAGCAGTTTAACCCACTGCACCACTGGAGGCTCCTTCACAATATTAATACTAAATAAATCTTCTTTGGATGACCACATGCATTATAGGGCTTTGCGAATTCATTTGCAGCATCTTTGAAGAGTCTCACTGTGCTCTCTCTTAATTAAGCCATTAATGACACTTCTGCTGTCAAGGATGATGATTTCACTCCACTTTCAAGCTTTCTTTACACTCTGATCTTTCATTGTACTGGTAGTTCTGATTTTAATGGATGTCCGTTACAGGATATTGTTTTGCCAGCTATACTTTCACTGCATATAAACTAAAGGGAGGGGGAAAAAAACACCAGGAAAGTAATTTTCTGGAATAGCTGGATGTAGTAGAATTGGTGAGCAAGATAATGTAGCAGATGCAAAGAATGAAGTCCATCCTGTAGGCTCCACTTCGAAAAAGAAATATGTTCATGTTGCAAGGGGGAAAAAAGAGGAATCTCCTTTTCTTTAGAACAATGTTACTCAACCTTCCTAATGTTGCGACCCACTAATATAGTTCCTCATGTTGTGGTGACCCCCAACCGAAACATTATTTCCATTGCTACTTCATAACTGTAATTTTGCTATTGTTATGAATTGTAATGTAAATATCTGATATGCAGGATGTATTTTCATTCAATGGACCAAATTTGGCACAAATACCTGATACATCCTAATTTGAACACTGGTAGGATTGGGAGAGATTGATTTTGTCATTTGAGAGTTGTAGTTGCTGGGATTTATAGTTCATCTACAACCAAAGAGCATTCTGAACTCCACCAAGGATACGATTGAACCAAACTTGGCACACAGAACTGCCATGACCAACAGAAAATACTAGAAGGGGTTGGTGGGCATTGACCTTGAGTTTTGGAGTTGTAGTTCATCTACATCTAGAGAGCACTGTGGACTCAAATAATGATGGATTTGGACCAAACACAGCACGAATACTCGATATGCCCAAATGTGAACACTGGTGTTGTTTGGGGAAAATAGACCTTGGCATTTGGGAGTTGAAGTTTCTGTGATTTATAGTACACCCATAATCAAGGAGCATTCTGAACCTCACCAACGATAGAATTGGGCCAGACTTCCCACACAGAACTCCCAGGACAGGCAGAGAGATCTTCAGCCTTCTCTGCCAAAGGGGTTCTTAAGACCATCAGAGATATGGGTTTTCTGATGGTCTTTGGCGTCCTCTCTGAAACTCCCCCTTGCAACTCACTGGTTCAGAAACTTTAGTGGTGAGACTAAAACTCAGATGATCTTGCTTGCTAAACTTTGCTGTCCTTTTGAGGAATTGTGGTGGATTTACATGATGGGATGTCAGCATTTGCAGGTCTTTGGGTCAACCTACATTGGCTGCGAGACTCAGCAGGTGAGCAAAAACTCGTCTCGCTGTCTAGCGTGCCAGGAATGTCTGTCCCGAAATGCAATGCTGCACCATATCCGGAGCCAAAGGTGCCTGAGTCAAAGGTGAATATGCAATCGTAAAAGAAGTGCCATTTATCTTCCCCACTGAGCTTGGAAGGGACACTTTGGAATTCATCAGAAACATCTGCAAGAAGCGTGGAAATGAATTACGTCTATGTCTGTCCCGAAATGCAATGCTGCACCATATCCGGAGCCAAAGGTGCCTGAGTCAAAGGTGAATATGCAATCGTAAAAGAAGTGCCATTTATCTTCCCCACTGAGCTTGGAAGGGACACTTTGGAATTCATCAGAAACATCTGCAAGAAGCGTGGAAATGAATTACGTCTTATTTATTTCTGCCTTGCTTTATTTATTTCTGCCTCCCATCCATTATTGGAAGGCTTGGGTAGATGGCAATATACTTGAAACAATATGTTTGAAATAGTAAACATATGATGATAGCTTCCAGCTGCTGCAAAAAAAGAGACCTGAAATAGCAAGGTCCCCTTTGTCCTGGATATTGTCCTTGACCATTCAGAGAAAGATCTGAGACCCAACACCAAAAAGTGGCCAATAAGGCTCCTGGATCCTCAACAACCAGAAATGCTTCTCTCATTATTCCAAGGATAGATCTGCACTGTAGAATCAATGTAGTTTGACACCACTTCAACTACTATAGCTCAATGGAATGGAATTTTCCTCTAAAATGCAGTTCAAGCATCTGGTATTTGTTGCCATTGTCCATATACAAGTACTAACCAGGGCTGACCCTGGTTAGCTCCCAAGATCAGACAGGATCTGGTGCCTTTAAAGCAGGGGTCCTCAAACTTTTTCACCCGTAGAGCTCTTTTTGAAGCAAAAGTTTATTGTGTAACCCCAATAAATTTTTATATAACTAAATCTCTCTCTCTCTATATATATATATAAAAATAAATATAAATGTAATGTTCGTTTGTGGGATTAACATAACTCAAAAACCACCGGGCGGGGAGGCGGAGTTGCAGTGGTCTATAGAGATTCCATTCTTCTGACCAGGGGCCCCATCCCGCAGTCAACAAATTTTGAATGCGTCCACCTGAGGGTGGGTGACCGGGACAGATTAGGGATTCTGTTAGTGTACCGTCCACCTCGCTGCACTACAGTCTCCCTGCCTGAGCTAGCGGGGGTGGTCTCGGACCTGGCATTGGAGTCCCAACGGCTGCTTGTGCTGGGGGACTTCAATGTCCACGCCGAGGCCACCTTATCGGGAGCAGCTCAGGACTTCATGTCTGCCATGGCAACCATGGGGCTGTCCCAACAGGTATCTGGCCCCACCCACAGTGCTGGACACACATTGGACTTGGTTTTCTGCCAGGGATGGGAGGAAGGTGGCGGTGTTGAGGCGTTATTGATGGAAGAGAAGAGAAGGAGAGGGAGAAGGGGGGATTGGAACGAGAGAGTGAGGAAGGGGAGGGGAAGGTGGTGTGTTGAGGAGTATCCGCATCTCTGACCAATTGCCGTAGAGAGAAGAACAGGACCACCGCCTGGTTCAGCTTTTGAACGGTCACTGACCCCTAACCTTCCGCAGGAGGTGGAGGACCCCATTAAGAGTATGGGAAGGGTTAACAAAACAAAACGCCCCAGGAGGCTCGAATGGCTCACGGACGGAATGATGAGAAAGAAGGTAAGGCAGGTTGAGAAAGGAATTACGGACAGCTGGGCATGCTTGAAGTAGAAGGAGAAGAGCACCGCCCGAATGAGAAAGAGGCAGAGAGAAGGAAGGAAGATAATTTCTACAGAACTGCACTATCCCAGGTTTGGAAAGGGGCGGAATAAAGAAAAAGGAAGGGGATTCAACTAAAAAAAA